TGAATGTGACCAATAACAATTTGTAACCAACCCCTAAACAAGGACAAACATCCATAATCCATTTTTTTGGGAATGTGGGCATAGTTTTCTAGGTGACTTCCTGCTGATTGGGAGCACTGGTAGTCTTATGGGCACATAAAGAAAAATGTAAGATTATGGTCAAGTCCTGGCTGGAGTATTCTCTGAGCCACTTGCCTTGAAGCTGTTCTGGATGTTAGATCATCTGGAGACCTCTCAGGGGGTCTTCCATGATGGAACCATATTAACTTGGAAGGAATCCACAGCTTCTCATCTTCTATGGAAAGAAAAGCAGAACCTCTTTTCTAAAGCAACATATCCTTAGACATGAATTTTGAAGTCAAGATGCATTTAAAATATACATATTAGTTTAACTGAGTAGACTTTACAATCAAATGTCTTTCTACAGTTAAAAATCCCTAAGACAATATAATCCAGACTCTTTGTGTGACTTCCATCTTTACGTGGCTTCTTTTTATATTATTTTTATTGTCTCTTTAAAAACTTTATTTTTTAAAATTATCTTTTTTTAAATCAACTGTCTATCCTCCTTTTCTTCTCTCTTCCAAGCCTATGTACATTTTTACATACACTGTAAACCATTTAGAGGTTTATTCCATCTGAAGCTGCCTGTTGTGTATCTGTAATCCTTTTCTGATCATTGCAAACTATAGTGTGGCTAAGATTGAAATGGCATCCCTGGCTGTGACTCCACCCACTGCAGCTTTTCAACATGGCGGAGGTACCCAGGAGAGTCACACTTACTCTGCCAACTCTGGGGTCCATGTTGCCATCAGGTAGCATGCAGCTGGCCCATAAATCCTTTTTGTCTGTATAAATAAAGGCTAAATCCACTGTGCAGTGTGCTGTGCAGTTTGGAAACACCTCTGTGTACTGAAGCGGTAATCCGCCATGCTGCACTCAAGCCCAGATGCTGCAGAATCTTGTGGCCCATATGAGACATGAAGTAGGAAGCTGCTTTTGGCTCCATTTTAGAATCTCTTATTAAATTTTCTCAGATTTCACGTGGAAACTCGAGCCAACACGTTGGGCAGCCAAGGACAAGAGAAAACTTTGGACTGTATGCACACATATATTTTAATGAAGCTTCTACATTAATAGGTTCCTATAGGACTTTTTCAAAAGGCCTTTCATGTTAGTTATTCCTCCCTAGAGGAAATGTATCTGTTAGACCTCCACCTCCCTGTAATTAAGAAGACAGCAACAATGGACAGGAAGGAAACTGTTATGGTTTGGATAGGAAATGCCCTACACAGATAGTTTAAAACCTAGGTATGCTGCTGGTAGTGTTATTTGGGAGGTTCTGGAGACTCAGTTAGCAGGGGCAGGTCCCCGGGGGATTGTAGCTAGAGTTTTCCTGCCTTGCCCACAGTCAGGATAAATCTCTGTCACCCGCCAGTCCCACAGCTGCTCAGAACCAACCAAGTAAACACAAGAGACTTATATTGTTTACAAATTGTGTGGCCGTGGCAGGCTTCTTGCTAACTGTTCTTATATCTTAAATTAATCCATTTCTATAAATCTATACCTTGCCACGTGGCTTGTGGCTTACTGGTGTCTTCACATGCGGCTTGTCATGGTGGCGGCTGGCAGTTTCTCTGACTCAGCCTTCCACTTCCCAGAATTCTTCTCCTCCTTGTCCCGCCTATACTTCCTCCTGCCTGGCCACTTGCCAATCAGTGTTTTATTTATTGACCAATCAGAGCAACAGATTTGACATACAGACCATCCCACAGCAGGGGATAACTTGAATCATGACTCTTCCTGTCTCTTGCTCTGCTTCTGGTCTGCAATGAGGTAAATGGATCTCTGCTACCATATTACTCACACTGCCATGAGGCTGTGCTTTAGATGGTCCCCAGGTCAGTAGAGCCAAGGGACCATGGACCAAAGCCTGAAACTGGGAGCCAAAGCAAATCTTTTCACCCTCAAGTTTCTATCATGCATGTTGTCACAGAAACCCTGGAACTGACAGACAGTTTACAAATGTCACAGTGAGTGGGCATTTCTTATCAGACATAGAAGAAACCCTCACAACCCTAGTGATAAAATGGTATAGTAGTCATTCAAAAATGAAATGATCTTAAACAGTTTGGGTTGCTGTCACAGGAACATCAGAGCATATGTAATACAAACAGCATACATTTGTTGCTTTGAATTCTGGAGACTGGGTAGCCAAAGATCAAGGCACAGTCGGGCTTCAGAGCTTCTCCCTGCTTACCTTCTTTTCAAGTGGTGCCTTCTTGCTGAATTATGCCATGCTGGAAAGGGCAGAAAGCTCCTCTGGATTGTCTTATAAGGTCACTATTCCTGTTCACGAACCCCCACCCTTAAGGCATAGTCACCTCCTCAACTATTATTATATTGAAAACTAGGTTTCAGCATATGAATTTTGACACCTTCAGACCATAGCACAAACAGACAACTAAAGTGAAATGGCTTGTCTCATGATACAACAGAAAATCTATACGAATAGTTTCTCATATATCGTTGCTCTTTTTTTTTTTTTTTTTTGACTTTCTAGCAATGTCAGAGGATGCCATTTGGTAGACTTCAAATATTGAATTTTGAATATTTTTTTTTCTGGGCCTGTGACACAAAGGTCAATGCTGTTTTGTAATACTGAGCAGTAGCAGGGAATTATAGCCCCCCAGTTAGCACCACACTCAGAAGGTAAATGGTGGACACCCTATAATGCACTGTGTTGCTGCGCTAAGTTGCTCAGGTTAAGTATATTAAATTTAGTTTTATCTGCATGATATTTCCAGTGTGCAGTGGATAAGATGGGGGTGTTTCCCACCACAACTTGAAGAGCAGTTTATTTTGTATTTGCACATGGCTTCTGGCACTAAAATCCATGTGATTTCCTAAGTGATAAAAATAGCAGGAACACCTGGTGTTATAGTATTTGGCCTTCTGTTCTCAGCTCCTGAAACATCTCTGTGTCTTCCACTATTCATAACAGACTTCAGACACACCGAGGAAGTGATTTTGGGGGAATCACTTAAATAACTGCAGAATTGGGATTGGTCATGGGGGGACCAATCAGTGTGATTGAGAGTTAGAACTCTGAGCCTCCTTCTTTCCTCCTCAATCTCTGGGAAGATAGGAGAGGGACTGGAGGTTGAATTAATTGCCAACAGTTGATGACTTAATTAAAATAGCCGATGAATTATGAATCTTCTGTTAAGATTCTCAACAAAAGGAGGTTGGGGTACTACTGAGCTGGTGAACAAGAATGCACTTGTGTGCAGAAGTGGCTCAGCTCACACTCTGTAGGAACAGGAGCTGGCAGTTTATGTCAGAGTTGAGTTAAATTGTAAGACATTCTGCCAGTGTCCTTCGAAGATGCAGAGGATTCATTTGTGTGGAGAATCTCATACCTTTGATATCAAAATTTTGTGTGTGAGAGAGAGCAGTGAATTTTTCTTTTTTAGTATAATATAAAACAATATCACAAATAAAAAAAACCTTCTTTGTATAGCAAAGCATATTAGGAAAGTTTATTCTATGAAGAAAAATAATAATGGATATTTTCCCTCAACAGCATATTGTGAGTGACTTCCCACAATAGATTAGGGGCCTGAATATAAAAACACTAACATAATAAAAGCAAACCAAAACTATGTGCACAGAAACTAACAACCGGAGAGCTAGAAAGGTGCAGTCAGTATATGAACCAATGAGAAAATATAAGTTAATCTGCTAGAACATATATTTGATTGCTTTAGAAAGTGGTAGGTTACCACTGAAGTCATATCTGAAGGATTACCTGCAGCATGTAGTGAGGCTGAATGCTAAGGACTAACCTTTCATTCAGTCACAGCAGTTAATCCTCGTGTGGTAGTTTGAAAGAAAAAGACCCCCAAAAGGAGTGGCACTATTAGGAGGTGTGGCCTTGTTGGAGTAGGTATGGCCTTGTTGGAGGAAGTGTGTCACTGTAGGGGTGGTCTTGAGGTCTCCTATGCTCATGCTATACACAGTGAGTCAGACCACTTCCTGTTGTCTGGGAGTCAAGATGTAAGGACTCTCAGCTCCTGCTCCAGCTCCAGGTCTGCCTGCATGCCACCATGTTGCACCATGTTGATAATGGACTACACCTCTGAAAATTCAAGTCACTCCAATTAAATGTTTTGTGTTTCCTTTATAAGAGTTGCTGTGGTCAGGGTGTCTCTTCACAAGAAAAGAAACCCAAACTAAGACGCCTTTCTTCTTGCAGGTTACTCTAAGTCTGAAACAAAGAATTCCATATTGCCCCATTGAGTAGGTCAGGATTACCGATTCCTTTAATTCCTAGATACTTATTAGGATTGTTTTAACTTCCTATTTTTGAGATAATACATGACTACACACCTAATTGCTTAAAACAACACACACATTTATTCAATTTGTAGAACTCTGAAGTCAGGAATAAAACTTATGGGGGATAAAATCAAGTAGCAACATGGCACTGAAGAAAATTAATTTCATTGTCCTTCTCAGTTTCTAGTGACCTTCTGTATTTCTTGGCTCATGAACCTTTGATCTATCTTCAAGGGACATCACTCCAATTACTGCTTCCACCATCATACAATCATTTCCTCTTCTATAGTCAACTCACCACCCGCCTCTTCTTAAAAGGACATTTGTACTTGTGATTAGGATCCACCCTGACAATCCCAAAATAATCTTCCATTAATAAGATTCTTAGTCAAATTGTCATAGTCTCTTTTGTCACCCACAGCAGCATTCACAGATTCCAGATATTAAAATGAAAGCCCTTGGGAGACTATCACAGGGCTAGAAATTGCAAACTGGATGAGTAAAATAACATGGTAAGCATGGGATCATTTTGCAATGGTCATGATTTTAAGGGTCTAATGGTATGGTCAAGGAACCCTTCACTGAAACAAAGACACAGCCCCTGTTGCCATCTCAGGGATCTCAGGCCAGTGTGGAAACGGTGTGGGAAAGCAAGTTCTTCATATTGCTTGGCATGTAATTTTGGATCTTGAACAGAAGATGATCTTCTTCAAGAGACTCTCTTTTCCGTCTAGAAAGCATTACACAAGTTTTTGGAACAGCACATTAAATAAGTCATTCTCCTTCCTCTCGGGGTCTCCTTTTCATGGCAGTTAGCCATACATGAGTGTTCTGAGAACAGATGGTTTTCTCCTAAAAATAAAGAAGCCGGTTACACATGCTGGAGGAGATTATCTTAATACAACTACCTAAAAGTCACTGCCAAGAGGAAAACCCCTTCACACTGGATCCCCTTCCCTGGCTCCTTGGGGTCACACTCCCATATTGACTCTGACTCTGGATGCCAAGCCCCTCAATGATGAATTAGAAAGTACTCTTTTCCCTCCTCCCGACATTTTACTCATTGCTCTACCACTTAGCAAGGTTCAATAATGGTAAGTTCTTTATCCCAGGCACTAGTAGGAGTAATAGTCTTTTGAAGGCATTTTGTTTTGAAGTCCGCATCAGCCCTACTTACCGGAGTAGTGTGATATAGTAGCGCATGAATGACCACGGGTTGCAACGCATCTCTCTTGGCCTTCAGTACATTTTGAATTTCTTGAGTGCTTACAGACATTACAGATCAGACCTGTATTTGTTGAGTAAGGAAAGAATAGGATATTTAGGATGAACTGCAGGGCTATGGAAACAAGTGATTACAAGATCCAAGAGAGGCTTCAGTGTTACACACAGACTATACTGTCTGTTTTCTCCATCAGCTAGTATTCAACCTAGCTTTGTGAGTTAAGCTAGGGGGTATGTAGTGATATATTGTGTACCCTAATAAAATTTGCCTGAAGATCAGAGAACAGAACAAGCCACTAGATTAAACATAGAAGCCAGGCAGTGGTGGCACACACCTTTAATCCTAGCACTAGGGAGGCAGAGATCTGTCTGGATCTGTGTGAGTTCAAAGCCACCCTGGACTACGTGAGACTGACTCAGTCTAGGAGAGAAACAGAGCCAGGCAATGGTGGCACACACCTTTAATCCCAATACTTGGGAGTCACACGCCTTTAATCCTAGCACTAAGAAGGAAGCGATATGGCTGGGTGGAGAAAGGTTTATAAGGCGTCTGGAGACAGGAACTGAAGGCTTTTTGGCTGAAGCTCTCTTTTCAGCTGAAGACTTTTTGGCTGAGGACTTAGAGGCATTCAAATAGAGGATTTGTGGAGTTGGCAAGGTGACACGTGGCAGTGGCTTGTTCCTTTGTATCTCTGATCTTTCAGCATTTATACCAATATCTGGTCCCAGGTTTTTTTATTACAAGACCATCTACCATTTGTGCAACAGGGTGGATTAAAATAATGGTGAAGTTATTTTTGTTAACTAGTTAGTACCTACTTATACTTGAAGATGAAATAAAAGCAATGAGAATCAAATTATGTATATATATGTATATTACACACACACACACACACACACACACACACACACACACACACACACACACACAAAATCAATTGGATGAATTGTATGATGCAATTTGAGTATAACAACAGACATATTCCATTGGGCCGAGAAGGCAAGACTTCTGTAGCCCAGGACTTGAGTTGATTATTGGAGATATGGAGATGTAGGTTGGATCTCTGTGTTGGAGGATCTTATGAGGGAGGGCATAGAGGTTGGAATAACAGTGAAATGTTTAGAGCAGGCTGAGGTGACATTCTTTGCTGATGATCCCACCTAGCTCAGCCTGACTTTCTTTCTTTCATAGAATGTCACCAAGTAGCAAAATGATCCAGGAATATCTGTGATCAAGTAGTAACAGGGCAAGAGAGGTAGGACATGGAGAGGATATCAGAAACGATGACAACTTTAGCTTTTAGGATTAAGCAATATTGATAGAGAGAAAATGGAATATGTTAGTTCAACCTTTCATCTCACACATTCCAAGATTATTGAGTAAGAATCTATATGGAGCCAAGAAGGCCTTGAATGCCATTGACTTACATCCAATTTCGAAGACAATTTTGCAACATCTGTCTTCTATATTTCACTCTCTCTGTTCTATTAAAACTGCCTTTACAAATGTTGCTAGTAATCCCTAATGACAAGTCTAATTGTCTTTGTATGAACCAAGAGTTTTTCCACTTATAAGTAATGATGACTTAAAGCATACAAGAAGATGTGCACAGGTGAGGGGCAAACATGTTACAAAATTTTATATCAAGGACTTGAACATTCATGGCTTTTGGTATCAGGAGCAGACTTGGAGTGAGTTGCCTTTTATAATACAGTGAGATGGCCATACATGGTACATAATCTGCATCTTGATTTCCTTTTAACAATGTATGATATAAGTAAAATATTCTATTGCAGCTTTGTAGCATGCTTTAATTAATCAATTCCTTATTTACATTTGTTTCTACTTTTTTGATATTACTTGCTACAGGAAATAACCCTGAACACTATTCATTATAATATAAGGAGGTTGTTATGTAATTTCATTTGAATGTGATTATAACTGTAAGATAATTTCATATAAGCAGAATTTCTGGATAAAAATAAATTATTATTTTGATAGATTTGCACTTTAAAGGAAAAGAAACTATGGATACTCTTGTTATCAATTTTTAGGTATTCTATCTCACTGTAACTAGGACATGGTAGTTTCTACTGTTGACAATAGGATCATTTAATACGTACTTCTCTTACTACATAAGGAGTGAGGCTGAGCACAATTTTGTATATTTAATAGCCATTTGTATTTACTGTATGGTGAACTTTTAATTCTTTAACTTACTTTTCTGTTAGATTATTAGTGTATTTTTAAATTCTTTTATTGGAGGTCATCATATATTAGGGACATTAGCCATTTTTCTACAACACGAATTGACTTTTTGCTTTTTACTATGAGGAATTTTAATTTTTTTCTTTCTTTCTTTATATTATTTTTATTTTTTGACATTATTATATAACTACATCACTTCTCCCTTCCTTTTCCTCCCTTCAAGACCTCCTATATGTCCTCCTTGCTCTCTTTCCAATTCATCTGGTCTTTCTTCTAAGAGCTCTAGGTTTTTGAGTTATAGTTAGAAAGATCTTTCTCAAATTGGTAAAAGAATAATCCTTCATTTTCTCTAATATTTTATGTTTTAGCAGTTCTTAGTATTGAAAGGGGGACAAAATAGAAACACCATTGTACTTCCAGTACATTTAATAAGTAAGATGAATAGGAATTAGACATTGATTTTCATTAAGTCATGAGGGAGAACTATGTGTCAAGGCTGACTTTCAAGCAGAGTGTGCATTCACTGGTGTGAAATGGAGGATCAACAGAGAGATTTGCCTGAGGAGTGAAGCTCGCTATTTTCAGCTATAAATTGTAATTGGAGCTTTGGAAGCAGAAGGGGATCTGTGTGAGTAGTATTGAGCTTTGAAGAGCCCACAGTGAATCAGGTAAATAAAGGTTCCTGCTGACCTAACACCTGCAAAATACATGGAGAAGAAGTAACGAGAGACAAGAAAGGGGAAGGAGGAGAGTGATGTGTAGAATGCAGCATAACATGTTCCAAGAAAAGGGAAATGAAATGGGAACCCAGGAATGAAAACTCAAAAACTGGAGGTCTGAACATTGCTGTCTTGTTTCTCTGCAGTTCCTCTGTTCTCTTCTTGATTAGTATATCCCATAATCTCTCTAATGTCCAGAACCTCCGTCTTTAGGTTTGAGCTGCAAATCCTGAGTGAGACTGGAGGACAGTGGTTTAGAAAATAGCACCCCTAAGACCTCCCTCCCCTACCCATGGTGCAAACTTACTCTCCACGGAGCAGAGAAGAGATAAGGTCACGATGAGCAGTGTGCTGATTTTTGTCGCAGGATTCATGTTGGATGACAGACAGTGGCTTGAGGTACTGTAAAGGATGGCCATTCACTCTCTTTATAAAGTTGGAGAACAGGAAGAAATCTCCAACATTGGCACAAGGAGGAAATGCCCTTTTCTATTTACTTTTGAGAAACTGCATGTATAATAATGTTGGAAGTACAGGCTGCCCAGCTGTCTAGCTGCAGCTGAGTCAGATAACTTCCCTCCCTTATCTTATCTTCTCTGTGTGCAAGTGTGTGAGATGTAGTTTTCTGGTCCTTCAGAAACTTTTCTCTATATAACAAGTAGAAAATGTCTGCTCATCCTAGAATTCAGAAATGGTGACTCAGAATTCAAAGGCTTCCAAAGAAGGATCATGTAACATGGTTTCCTGCATAGCTTATTCCAATGGTGGAAAACTCTCCAGTTTGAGACTAGGAAAGGAGGAGGTTTGAGCCTAAGAGTCTACATGTGACTCCTGTCTTCCAACTTTTCCATCTTTTCTCCTTAAAAAGTTCTAGTGCTTATCATGCTAAAAGTCTGGGATATCTGGAAGTCTGGGATATCTCAGGTTTCTAGCAAATCTTATGGTTGGGAAGTTCAGGGGTGAAGGCAGACATGAGGGTGCTTCTCAGAGGCATTTCCAGTGAGCTCCTTCTTGGGGACTGAGCACAGTTTCTGAGTATTTCCTGCCCTGGCCCTTCTGGAATTAAAGCTAGGACCATGCCTCCACCACACTCAGCCCTGTCTCACACAGTGTCCCTGCTGTGGACTCTAGGGAAATGAAATATCACGGTCCCAACCTCACTCTGAGCCATTCAGCTACATTCTAGAACAAAGGTCTAGAAGAAAATTTCTTGCTTGTCCTTGTGGCCTCCCCAACTTCTCAGGGAGATTTACTTCCTTCATGAAGGATGCCATCTCTGGTGGGGTGCATTCTCTCCACCCCATTCTAGTTGTTACCAGGTCTCATTACCCTTTCTCTTCCAGGTGACCTTGTCTTTGTGTAGCTCCATTGTCTGGGCTTCATTTAAAACCAATAACCATGAAGATCTTTTCTGTTTCCTTGTTGGCCTTGTCCTCTGTGGGGATTAGGTGTGTGACATGGTCTAAGACCTTAACAGACAGGGCTCTCTCCCTTTCCTTCTGCACCTTTTACATACTGGATCCTAAAAACAACTCTGGGCAGTATAGATAATAATTATCATTTCTTCAAATGAAATAATAGGCTCAGAAAGGTTCAATAATGTACCTAAGGTCACACAGCAGCTAGCAAGCTTCAGAGCATGTGAAACCATGATTGTCGGCAACAGAGTTACATCTAAGATAAATTTACAAATCATACATTTATTCCTATTAGTGGGATTTTGGTGTATTCCTCAACCTTTGAGAAAAAATATTAATTTTTAATCCAGTTCCTGAAACTGCACCACAGTGAACAGGAATTAAATGATATATTCTTAGAGTTATATACTTTGTATGAGCTCCCTATTGCTATGGTAAAAATAAACTCCTAAGAGTGGCTTTTGATACCATGAATTACTCTTCTAACATTCCAGAGGCATACAATCTTATGGAGCTACAATAAAGACACAATTAAAATTCCAGCAACATGCTATTTACTTCTGGAGATACTAAAGAAGAAAATATATTTTCCTCCAGTATTCCATAGCTTGTGACCCATTTCTCCATCTTCAAAGCATATAACTTCAAAAATCTGCTTTCATCATTATATCACATTCCTCATTCTACAGTCAACTCCCACTCTCAGATTCTGATAATCAAGCACATGGTTTTGCATGTGCTAGGCAGGTTTTCTACCTTTAAACTATGTCCTCAGCCCCCTACTTCTCTTTTATAAGGTTATTTATGATCATATTTAGGGGCCCAACCAAATGAAACATGATGACCTTTCATCCCACAGTCCTTACCATAATCTTTTGGGGCATACACACTAACATTCCCCAATAACAGAGATTGGGATATAAAAATATTTGGAAGTAATTATGCAATTTTTTCTATTTACTACTGTCAACTCGACACAGCCTAGATCACTTGAAAAAGACTCAATTTGATAATTGTCTTTATCAGGTTAGTTTGTGGTCATGTCTGTGGGGGATTGTCTTGGTTGTTAATTGATTCAGAAGAGTCCAGTTCACTGTAGGTGGCACCATTCCTGTGCAGGTAATCCTGGACTGGATAAGTATGAACCTGTGAGTGATCCAGACATACACACAGAGACAAAGAGAGACACAGAGATAGATAGATGATAGATAGATAGATAGACAGATAGAAGAGAGACACAGAGATAGATAGATGATAGATAGATAGATAGATAGAAGACAGAGAGAGAGAGAGAGAGAGAGAGAGAGAGAGAGAGAGAGAGAGAGAGAGACCAAACCAGTGAGTGAGCCAGAAAGCAGTGTTCCTTCATGGCCCTTGTCTCCAGATTCCTGCCTTGAGTTCATGGGTTCATGCCCTAACTTTCTTCAGTGATGGATCATGGAAATGCAAGCCAAATAAACTCATTCTTCCCTAAGTTGACTTTATTCATAGTGAGAATGCTTTATCATGGCAACAGAAAGAAAATAAAACACTGTCCACTACGCACTCTCAGTACCAAGATCATGACACCATCTCTGTGGGCCCTCCTGTTTGCCCAAATGCTACCTCTGCAATAAGGTGCATCTCTCTCTGCCTGGCCTGCTTGTGTACTCACACCTGTATATCTTCTTCATTTATGCAGTAGCAAACACCCACTTCTTTAACAGTCTGTCCCATTATTTAAAGCTTCTATCTGTTCACATTTGCTCTTCCTCTGGTGCTTTCACTGTCTTTTCCACTGAACTACTTTCTTATTAGCTTTCAAAGTCCTCTTTTTCCCTCTCTTTGTTAAATTTTATTTTAATTAAAGTATAGTTATATCATCCCCCTTCCCTTTCCTCCCTCCAATCCCTTCTGCATCCTTCCCATCACTCTCTCAAATTCAAGACCTCATCTCCTTTTCTTTAATTACTATTGTTACACACACATATATAAAATCTGCTGAGTCCTTTTAGTGTTGCTTGTGTGTATTTGATTTCAGGGCTGATAATTTATACCAATGGTACCTCAACAATATTGCTGCCTATACAAGATGAGAACAATGAAAACACCAAAGACATGCTAACATGGAAGGAGGAAATGTCATAGGGACCTATGACAAAGAACTACAGACAACTAGTGACTGCTGAGAGAAGGAGGATTAGTCTTTTCCCAGGAATAAACTCCTTAACTGTCCATCCAATACGGAGTGGTCAAAGTCCTTCTTTTTGAACAGAGGTTTCCCTGGTAATATTTTCTAATCCTAATCCCTTCTGGTCCCCAACAGCCAACTATGTTTGACACATTGTGATCTCTTTAAGATGGTTTCAAATTCTGTAAGGTCCTCAACCAGTGTCTTTGTTTAACAGAAAGCCTCGCACTTAGTAAAATGATCAGTGACAGTTTACTGAGTTGGAAAATTAGCTAATGAGTAGAAATGATGAGGACAGACTTGGTTCAACTTTAGGAAGAATTTTACAATAAATAATACAGAGATACAATAGGGTATTTTGTGCAGCAGCTTTCTAATAACTGTGGAATTAGGGTGAACACTCTCCTGGGAGTGCATGGGGGAAATCAGGTAGGGATGCTGTGTTCTTGGAAACATCCTTTCTGGAAAGTGATCTTATGATCTGTAACATTCGGTGCCTAGTCTAAGCACATATCACAAAAGGGAACAGTGAGCACACCCCCCAGGGAGGTACATGATGAACATCTGAGAATACTTGATCCATGCCTCAGTTCATACTGAGTACAGTCACTCTGCTCTGTCTATGTAGAAGTTGGCAGTTGCCTGAGAGAGAGAGAGAGAGAGAGAGAGAGAGAGAGAGAGAGAGAGAGAGAGAGAGAGAGAGTCATATTGTTTTAAAAAATGGCTACAAGAAAATATGATATTTGAATGAGAAATTATAAGAACTTTCTCTTGTTCATGGGAAGCATGCTGGGTGTCATTGGCAGCACAATCCTAGGGTAAATCTGTTTCCTTGTGAAGCCTTTGGAGGATGGCTATATTTGACTGCATCACTATAAATATTTCCATTCCTTTGTTCTCCTACTTGGTCATCAGCCTGTTGACTTCTCTCTGCATTCATCCCTCTTCCATTGTTAGGATTCCTGGCTAAGGGAGAGTTCATGACTTGTGTTCCTTTGGTAGTCTGCTTAGCAACTTTGTCCACCTGGAAATATAGCACTACTTTCACATTTGTACAAATTATCAAATGAGAAGACAGGAGAACCACAAATCATAAAAGAGCCATAAATTGGACAATATAAAAATTAACTTTCTTCAGGAATGAAATGGAGAGTGAAAGATACTAGTCACAGACTGGGACTCCAAGAGTTCAACTGCTAGTGACAAGGGAACTCTGATAAACTTCGTGGAAAACTGTACATGAGGACAATCACAGCACTCAAAGTCTTAGCTAAGAGGTAGGATGAGAGAAGGAAATAAAGGGGATAGAAATAGAACAATGAAGTCAAAGTATCTCTACTTGCTTATGACATCATTCTATAGTCAACCTTAAAGATTACACCCCAAACTCCTAGAGCTGATAAACACCATCAGCAAAGTGGCAGTTTATAAAATCAATACACACAAATGTATTGTGCAAGGGTTTCTTTTTCCTCTGCAGCCTGTCAGCATTTATTGTTTTGTTTTCTTAATGGTAACTAATCCAACAGGGCAGCTGGAGAGATGGCTCAGTAGTTATAAGCACTAGCTGCTCTTCCAGAGGACTGGGGTTCAAGTCGCATCACCCACATCGCAGCTCACAACCATCTGTAACTCCAGTTCCAAGGGATCTGATTCTGGCCATCTTGGGCACCAGGCATGTATGGTTCACAGAAATACATTCAGACAAGACACCAATAGACATAAAATTAAAAACAAAATCTAATTGGGATAAAATGGCGTCTTAACATAGTTTTCATTTTCAATT